AAATACTGCTACTGTACGCAAATAGATAAGATCAAGTAAAGACAGAGAAAAAAAAAAGAAAGAAAACAGACCTACAGTAAATATCACAAACCGATTTAAACATAAACCTTGGCAGCCAATACATCCAACTATTGGATGATTTTATCTGGGGGTCTCAGCCACACGTACTCTGTACTCCGGAGTGGCATCCCAACAATGAGACAAACTTCACTGATACGTACTCTGATTTCGGAATAATCCGCATCGTTACGAGGACATGACTTGGTCGGAAAGCAGGGTTTCGCCGTTAGATTCCCCGCAGGGTGGCGTTGTCTTCGCCCATGTGGGAGGCAAACAAGAGATGGGCTTTCAATCCACTTCGGTCCAGGCACATACTTTTCTATACCGTACAGTACCTGAGTGGTTCCCCATGTCCACAGACTTTTTTTCTTTTCTCATTTCTCTGGTTTTTATTTTTCTCACCGGTGAAATTGTAGATGATGGGATGTATTCCTATCGAATTGATGTTGTGCTCCATGTATGTACATCCAGTACCATGGGCACGCATCCTGGTGGAGGGCCGGATAGTTTTCCCTCTTTCCTATCTTAGACTGAGAGATTTAAAGACACTCAAGTGTGTTGTTGGCTGCTCCACTGTGGTTGATGGTATACCGTGGCTGGTGTGCTGGGCTGCGGTCTTACTGAGGCGTTATTGGGTACGACAGTGATGGATGCTGGAGGCTGTTTTAGTAAAGAAGTGTGGTTGGGTGGGTACATCAATCACCTATTGGATCTTTGTACCTAGGAGGTGGCCTTCGAGAGTTTTACCTGGTACTCTTCCATACAACCCGATGTGTTCCTGGTACGGATGGGTTAACCGGCATTCAGGAATAGTGCCCGAGCGCTGTCAGTTTTTAGTACAAACTAGCAGGGTAGCCTGAACATGTTGGATTATAGGAGAGGTAGGGATTTTCTGGTCTGATGGGGTGCATGACTCCTTGCCTGGGTATGTAGGTTATTATCGTCGCCTTCCGGGAATGATTATTGTCTTATACAATTCATTTCAATTGTATCATGTCTCAAAACATTGCGACATCTTTTGCCTTCTTTTTACTGTGGAGGACTCACACCTAACTAATCGTGGAGGATTTCCTATCTTAAAATACAGGTTTGCCAATCCAGTACTGTATGTAAAAGCGCCCCCCACTTTGCATGGAATGGAGACGCCAAGTGGGGCAGGTCTCGGGTTATCGTTAATCGATAAGTGATCCGATAAGCCTCTGGAGGGGCCTTGTGGTGGCGGAGAGAAACATAACTGTACGGAGTGCTGTACAGTACTCTGTATTCATGCATACGCCTTGTCAGTCAGAATCCCAGAAAACGGTGGGTAATCTATAGGGGTTTTTGACAGGTCGGGTGTGAAACGGGCTTACCACCTACGTAGAAAACTAGCAGTGGGAAGTGTGGCTCAATCGTATGGTAAAAGAACTGCCAGTCAAGTCGGCTGACCGAAGTGACACACCGACCGTACAAGATCCTCGACTTAATTGTCCAACTGATCAGTTTCTCTCCCCCTTTTTGCTTCTCTTCACGCTTCTTGCATCACAGTGTCCGTTTTCGATAACGTTTCGCAGTTTATCAACTCTGTGGATGATGCCCAAGTGACGTGCCTATCCAGTCCCAGGATTTTCTGTCCCTTCAGTTCCGACGGCGACGTCCACCCATTGGGGTTTCCCGCACTGACCGAGCCCCCCCCCCGGGTTACGCGGTCCAGAGGTCCCATGGTACAACTCTTACAGATCTTAGCCGAGAAAAACCACAACGTTGTCGGTCCCTTCATTCTTCCTCTCTCTTGGTGACCCTCATCCTTTCTTATTTGTCTTTTCCTCTGTCCATCTCACCCTTTGCTTCACCCCCGCGGCCTTTATATCCGCTGGAACGGACTTTTTGGCGTTGGCATCGGGCTCGCGTGCTGCCATTGCACTCAAACAATATACTTCGGGAACCAGGCTTGAAACCGTCACTATGACCACGATCTAAAACCCAAATCACGAGTTGTCCTTGCGCGAGTTTGCGCCCATCAATAGAACCTCATTTTAGTTGACTGTTCACGTTTTACATTTTCGGAGGTATTTTTTGATAATTCGATAGTGTTCGGAAGGAATTCAGAATACCGGCTGGACTGAAGAGGCTCTGGTATTTTTATACACCAGCTACACCATGGCTGCTACATGTACCGACAGGATTACTCCTGTATCTGGAGTAGCCTCCCCGGTGAGTCCAGCCTCCTCAACAGGTCAGATACCCTTGGATCAACCTCCGAAACTTAAAGGGCGACATAAACTGTTACAAAGCCTCCAACGCATCTCATCGAGCCCCAGTCTGAAACGGGGCCGCGCCCATTCTACTGGCTATCGCCGAGATGGAAAAGCTTCATTGTCCTGTATCTCGCTGGGACATTCGGCATACACTCCTTGTCTCGGTAACGGAAGCTCGTCACAACTCTATGGTGGATTGAATGTGCGCCCAATGACTTCTGGCCAGGCTGGCCCAGCAGAAGAACATGAGGGGAATGTTCGAATACGCCTTGTTGGGACCGACTCACCAAATGCCGCTCAATCAATATCAGTCCCCCTGCCAACTGAGCTGAGACCAGGGTCCCTTGGGTCGCCGCTAGGAAGTACCGATGTGATCCAGGAAACCGCTGTCATTCAGCCCGCACCGAAACCCAAGAAGGCCTTTGACTTCTGGGGAAGCATGCCCGGAGAGCTCAGAATGCTAATTTTTAGCTATCTGACTCCCAGGGAAATTGTCCGCTGCTCTGTCGTCTCCAAAGCCTGGAACAAGATGTGCTTTGATGGGCAGTTGTGGTCTGCAATTGACACAACAGATTACTATCGCGATATTCCTAGTGATGGTCTCGTGAAGATCATCGCATCCGGCGGTCCATTCGTCCGGGATCTTAACCTCCGTGGTTGCGTTCAGTTACGAGACAAATGGAAGTCCGAAGGCAAGCGCATCACCGACCTGTGCCGGAACGTTGTTAATTTCTCCCTGGAGGGATGCCGCATTGATAAGACGTCCATGCACTACTTCCTTCTACGAAATCCTCGTTTGGAGTACATCAATGTCTCGGGGTTGAGCAGTGTAACGAATTCGGCCATGAAAATCATCGCTCAGTCATGTCCACAGCTTGAAATTCTGAATGTATCATGGTGCTCGGGCGTGAATACAAATGGGTTGAAGAGAATCATCAAGGAATGCCCGAAGTTGAAAGACCTTGGGGCCAGCGAAATTCGCGGTTTTGACGATGAGGAGTTTGCGCTGGAATTATTCAAACGAAATACCTTGGAGCGTCTGATTATCAGTCGCACTGATATTACTGATGAGTGTTTAAAGATTCTCGTGCATGGTGTTGATCCGGAAATGGATGTGCTTCTCGACCGACCCATTGTACCTCCTCGGCGATTGAAACACCTGGACCTGCACCAATGTATTGAGCTGACGGATAATGGAGTGAAGAGTCTCGCCTACAATGTTCCCTACCTCGAGGGCCTGCAGCTTTCCCAGTGCCCCGAGCTTAGTGACGACTCTGTTATCGCTGTTATCCGTACCACGCCTCGCATAACCCATCTCGAGATTGAGGACATAGAAAGGCTCACCAACAGCACCCTCCTAGAAATTGCAAAGGCGCCATGCGCCGAACACCTCGAACACCTCAATATTAGTTACTGTGAAGCCCTCGGCGACCCTGGTATGCTTCAAGTTATGAAGAACTGCCACTCTCTCCGCTCTGTTGAGATGGATAACACTCGAGTTTCCGACCTTACTTTGATGGAAGCCAGCTACCGTGTCCGCAGGAGAGGTTACAGTGAAGACCTACCTAGTGTTGGCTTGCGCTTGGTTGTCTTCGACTGCGCCAACGTTACTTGGGCTGGTGTAAAAGAGGTTCTTTCAAGCAATGCCTATGTCCCACGTTCTCGCAAGTCGCTACAAGCTACATCAGCTATATCGGTTGTAGCGCAGACCGTCATACCGAACGAATCAACAGATACGAAGACAATGATTACATCCTCTATCACGCCCCCACCACAGCCTTCGGTATACCCCAACGAGATCATTCAGCTCAAGTGTTTCTATGGCTGGCAGATGACCGTGAACGAGCATAACAAGCGAGTCTTGAGAGGAGATCTTGCTGCCGCAAACCGTTTAGATCGGAAATGGGCTGATTACATGATGGCCACAGAAGAAGCAGGCGCAGCAGGTGCAGGTGCTAGAAGAAGACGTCGTCGGGCCCGTGAAGCCGAGAGAATCTACAATGCAGACGACGAAGGTGATGACACCTATGGTGTCGGGGGCATCTCCGCCCTTGGGGGAAGACGCAGGAGAGCACACAGTGGTAGTTCCTGTCTTGTCATGTGAGAAAGTCATTCTTTACTTTTCTTCTTTTCCTTAGTTCACTTTGAACACAAAGGATCCACAGACATGCCTGTGAAGATGTTTCTGTGTGTGAAAACCTACTCCTTCCAGTTACGGGGTTCTGGAAACCTTGTTGAATGTGTCTACCATCGTGCTTTTCAACTAAAAATTGGCAGCCGAGCAATGCTGGCCATGTGGTGAACTGAATTGCATATCTCCGGCACAGAGTATGCCCTGAGACATGAATTGATGAATCTGTGTGAGCAGTTGGATAAGTATGCTTATCTACGCTGAAAGTTTAGTCCATAGCGAACTTGTTTCGTACTGGCTTTCTCTCTCCCGCACCGGCCCTATGGCATCCACACAACCATACTTTTTGACTGGCTTGGTGTACGATTGAAGTCCGGACATATTTGACGTCCTGATAGCAATCACCTCAGTCCTTTGGAATATCTATTTCTTGGTCTATTCATTAGAAAGGGACGGAGAGATCTGGAGTCTGTTGTTTAGGTTAGGGTTGATTTTAGCGGTCACTTAGATTCGAAACTTTTCTTATGAAGATCTTACTTTTATAATCATGTCCTCAATTGTGATAGCGTAACTGCACTAGGTACATACAATGGACTGAGCAGGTCAGAGGCCCAGTCTTGATGTTGGGTATCGCATACGACGTAGAAAAGATGCTTTTTGAAAGACAGCTTGAAGGATGTTAAAGACGAATAACCGACATGGACCAACTCCTGAAAATGCACAATACTTGATACACCGTTTACTCTCCATGGCGATTACATCTCAAAGAAACCCCCATCGCTCTCATCGCCATTATCATCAGGTGAGGCCTGGCGTGCCCGGAAATGGCGACTATCGTTCTTAGAAGAAGATCCTCTCGAGTCCTTCCCTTTCTTGTCCTCTCTTCTTTGCGGCTTGACGCTAGTCTTTGTGGTGTCCTTGTGCTGCGCAGAATCACGAGCACTGGCCTTCTTATTTTCCAAGTTGGCCTTTTTCGTTGCTTCAGCACCGAGTTCTCCGTTCTTCAACTTTCCGTCGCGCAGAAGTTCGAGGGTTCCGTCCTTCATACACTTCTCCACGGTGTGCCACATAGCCGGCTTATCAGCAGCATTCGCATGAACAAGCATGTATTTTGCATCGCCGTCTTCATCATCATCTCCATCCTTCGCCTGATCCTTCTTCTTCTTCGCATCAGCGTACAGGGCGACGTATCTCTCCGCTAGAGGGTAGTAGATGGTGTAGTTCAAATTGACACGAGCGACTTGGAGCTTTTGCGCAAGAGCGGCGAGTTTCTCTTCTTTGGTTGCGGAGTCTAGATCAGAGCCTGTGACCTCCTTTTCGCGACGTTCGAGGCGCTTGACGTCTTTTGAGGCGGTTTTGCGATCTGTCATTTGGTGGAAAGATTAGTTATAACTACGAAATGCGCAGCATCGTGACCCTAGGCGCAACATACCCAAGAACCGAACAAAGTGGTATTTCTTAATCATCTTCGACCGCTCCCGTCTGTTCTCTTCCTCCTCCAGATCATTCTCATATCCCGCGAGGGCACGCTCCTGCACAATGCGCGCATCTGCTGGGAGATCCACCCGGTTCAACAGACGTTTGACATCGCGAATGCGCTTCTTCAATTCGTTAACGGAAGGGTACTGGTGTTCCTTCTTGGGCAGCTGAACTTTCTTCCTAGAGTACTGGTGCGATGCCTCGTCGGAATTGTGCTTGCGTTTAGGAGGATCACTACGGTCCCGGTAATGCCTGTCGCTGGAGGGTCGGGAGACGGGCGACTGTGATCTGGAGTACTCTCGGGGCATTATGGGCGGTTGAGAGTGAACTTTGTTTCTGTTCTTGGGACTCTGGAGAGAAAATGATGAAACTACAGAAAAATACCGGCGGATCATCCGTCGGCCCGAGTAATCTTTCAGATTCCGACAGTAGCCAATCAGGGCTGGGCTGTGTTTAATGACGCGCCTAGCTTGTACCGTACGCATTTAACCCAGGGACTGCGGATCGAATTGAAGGTTTCATACTCGTCAGAGGCTGTGCGCCGGAACTCGAATCCACTTTGCCCGTTGACATTGCATTTCGCAATTGTCGCTATGCAGCCCGGTGCTTGACTTACCAGTTGCACAAGCTGGTAAGAGCATGGGTCACTGCTGGGCGCTGCAGATAGGTACTTCCCGCTTAGATTAGGTAGGCGACCAAGTCGGCTGGTCGTGTCGAACACAAAAGACGAACCAAACCACAAAACAAGAAATAGGAAAAGAGATGGAGACCGCCATTCGCTGGTCGCCATCGTCGACCACGGCGGAACAGCGCTTTCTCTCGGTGGATGTGGTAGGAAAGGCATTCCGCCTGTGCAAGGTGACGTCCTTCGACGGCCAGAACCTAGACCATGAGGTGCTTGCTGCTCACACCAAGGTTCCGGCATTCCGGGCCTTCGACTGGTCGCCCGCTGATGAATCGCTCGTCGCTGTCGGCCAGTCGTCCGGAGACGCCACTATTCTGCGCTTGAGCAGCGAGTCCCAGGAGTCGTTCTCGTTTCCAATTCGTCACCAGCGGTATTGTAACGCTGTCGCATTCAGCACGCATGGATTACTGGCTGCTGGCCTGGATCGCGTGCGGAATGACTTTTGCCTCAATGTCTGGGATGTCAATCAGCGGCTCGCTATGAGAGGGGGGAAGGGGGTTGTGGAGCCACTGAGGAAGCTGGCGAGTTCGGAACCGATCACCAGTGTGAAGTTCTTCAGGGATCAACCTGACACATTAGTGGCGGGTGTGAAGGGGCAGTATGTCAGAATTTATGATCTTCGAGGTGGGTTTGTTGTTTCCTACTCTTCGTGCCGCTGTTGTCTAATTGGTTTGCACAGAGGGCCCTGGCAATCCGTCGCTACAGTTTCCGACTCGGTGTGTCCATGCTCTAGCGATTGACTGGCTGGATGAGAACTATATTGCATCGTGTCTTACCTCTAATGATCCTACTATCAGTATCTGGGATCGACGTGTAGGGTCTCGATATACAACCCCTGGCGTAGGTCCAGCAAATACTCTTGAGACCGGACAGCCGGGACCTGCGCTTGAGTTCAAGAATGTTGTCGCTCCGAAGTCAACCATCTGGAGTCTGCGATTCTCGAGGACGAAGAGGGGGTGTCTAGGAGTTCTTGCGAATACCGGCCACTTCAAAACTTACGATGTTGTCAAAGAATACTTATCCGAGGAGTATCGCTCGTCAGTGGATGAGACCTTGGGTCAAGGATCTTCGAAGAACTATCCAGAGCAGATATACACCAAGTATGTGCGGGATGTTTCCAGTCCATTCAATCATCCATCACGGGGCTATCCGGAATCGGAAAGGATCGTATCTTTCGATTTCCTTAATATGAGTCCTTCCAATGAACCTACTGCCTTGACGCTATCGGCCAATGGCCAGGTCAACATCATTACAACAAAACCACCGTCACCTCCTGTGCGACTCTCCTCCCAAGGCTTGTTGATACGCGGGACATCTGGCGATGATGCAGATTTCCGAACGATAGGCCCTATGCCTAGTCAAGGGCTGTGCGTCTCTGAGGTGGTTGAAGACCTCCGTGGACGTATTCTACCAAGCCATGATGTTCCAGAAGTATCGCGTGAAAGTCATCCCCCAAAGCCATTATCTAGCCGTGAGGCTCGGGAACGTGCTCTATCTCTAGGAACGTCGGGCCATCCGATTACAGCCGAGGAGGCTTTGACCCTATTGACCATCAACAGACTTCGTTGTAAAGAAGGATATCTATTTGATGCAGCCCAAAACCGGAAGATACTAGCCGATGATCCTCGCCTACAAGGCTTCTGGGGTTGGATCCAACGTGAGTTGAATATTGAATACTATGACACACATATACTAATATTCTAAAAGGCGCGCGCAATGACTCGTCTAATGACTCAATGGTTGCAAACGGCCTGGATCTGAATTTTGTGGGAGTGTATGACATTTGGAACAATGATCTAGGTGTGTATTACATCTGCCCAGGATGTGGGTTGTTTCCCCACAGTACATAACTGACGTGCTGCAGGCGAAACCTTGGACACTCGGCACCTCGAACCCGATGCCAGACCTGATATCAGTAAGGTCATCGTCAATCTGGTTCGAGAACAACTGAATCTCCCGGAGACCAGGGGCTGTGAGACAGATTATCCAGAGCATCGCAGGCTTTGTCTCCGACTCTGCGGCGCAGCTCAGACTCACCGTGAATTGGAAGAACTCGTCAAGACATTGTCAGCCGACAGTCAGCATACTAAAGCAGCAGCTCTAGCTGTCTTCCAGGATGAGGCTAAATTGGCCTACTTAGCGTTACGAAGCCACCAGCCCACTCAAGCACATAAGCTGCTTGCCATGGCCATTGCCGGTGCGGCAAAAGGTGACACTGACCCGGATTGGGAGGACACCTGCGCGGAGATTGCCAAGGAGCTCACAGATCCATATGCACGAGCGATCTTGGCACTTGTGAGCAAAGGGGACTGGAACTCTGTCATCCAGGAAACCACGCTTCCATTGAAGTATCGAATTGAGGTTGCTGTGCGTTGGCTGCCCGACGACGAGCTGACCGAGTATTTAAACGAAATGACTGCCGAGGCCATCCTTCAGGGAGATATTGAAGGCATCGTGCTAACAGGGCTGGGGCCGTCCGCTATGGACCTTTTTCAATCATACATCAGGAAATTCAACGATGTGCAAACACCGGTCCTTGCCATGAGCCACGCCGTCCCGCGATTCATTAATAACAACCCGAATAGGGCACGCTTTGAAGCATGGCGCGAAACGTACCGTTGGCAGATTAATTCCTGGAAGCTACAGCTGGAACGGGCACGGTTCGATGTCGGCTCTCGAAAATTCGCCGTCACCTGGGACGGGAGAAAATTGATTGAGCCACCGCGACAACAAGTCAGTCTGACTTGCAATTACTGTACGCGGCCACTTACCCAACACGATGCCTCTTCTCAGCTTTCACCCTCTACCACGGGCGAGGTCGTCCACCCCACGACTGGGAATCCCCTGGGCACGTCGGCAATGTCTGGAATGGTTTGTCCACGCTGCGGTCGGCACATGCCCCGATGTGGCGTCTGTACCTTTTGGCTGGGATCCCCAGACCCGATGTCGAAAGCGTGCCTCGCCGCTGACGCTGGACAACAGGCCGGAAAGCCTACCCAAGCGGAGATGATGCGACGATTCATCGTATTCTGTATCAACTGTAACCATGGATTCCATGCGCACCATGCCCAAGAGTGGTTCATGAAGCATAGGGTCTGCCCGGTTGCGGAATGCAATTGTATCTGTGATCGGTGAAGTGCTGATCTTACCTCTCAATTTTCCATTATTTTTAACTCTGGGGCATGGGCTACGGTGGAGGAAGGCTTGGACGTTGTTTCTGATTATACCCATTATGTAGAGAATTGATGTTGATCATTTTATAACCATAGTGAGCAATAGGTTCTACTGCTAAATCTAGAATAATAACCTAATTTAAGATGAAATGTATAGATTGGGAATTCTGCCTGGATGCCCCACTCCTAAGGTTGATCGCCCGCAGATGATGTCAGAAAGAAAAATAGGAAACACGGAATTTCTTCTAGAACGACTCACACTGCATATTGTACATGACTCACAAAGACTCATTCGCAACGATTGAGTAAATACAATCCCTGTGAGTCATGTATCCAATCATTACCCCTCAAATACGTTTCCAATAAGACTAACCCTCCGCACCCTAGAAACTAGCGTGCAGAATAAAATAAACAGCAGCCCACAATTAAACCCCTCCGACACCATCTCCAACGTCTACCTGCCTGGCCAAGGATCATGGGCCAACAACGCAGAGGCAAGCCCCACGGGGGCCGCGACGTAACTGTCTCCAAAGCCCTAAGTCTGCTGCTCCGACACGCCGCCGAAAAAGAAGGCCTGAAGCTGGACGCGCAAGGCTACGCGAACGTCGCAGACGTGGTATGTCACGCCCTCACGTTCTCCCAACCCACCCCCCCCACTAATTCACTACACCAGAAACAACAGATCTACATTCCTGGATCTTAAATCTAACACTGGCTACAGCTCGCCTGGCGCAAACTCAAATCCCTCAAAGTTACCTTCCCCGAAATCGTGGCCGCCGTCGCAACCTCGGACAAAAAGCGCTTCGCCCTTCTACATGTCCCCTCCGCTGAGGCCCAGGCCCAGCAGTCGACCTCCACGGAAGCCGCTACAGAAGATGGCATCCCGACGACAAGCGCGGGGCAGGATTCCGCGACGGAGACGGCCCTCGCGGTGTCCGAGTCGGACCCCGACCCGGCGCATTTCTTGATCCGTGCGACGCAGGGACACAGTATTAAGAGTGTGGATGCGGCTTCGTTTTTGGAGAAGCTGTCGCTGGATGATGAGGCCAAGTTACCTGATACCGTTGTGCATGGGACGTTCCATGCTGCTTGGCCGGCGATTCTGGCCTCGGGCGGGTTGAGGAGCATGGGGCGGAATCAGGTGCATTTTGCTACGGGGCCGTCCGTGCAGTCTGCGCTTGAACAGGGGGCGCAGCGGACAAAGGAAGTTACAGGGGATCACGGGGAGAAGGTCATCTCGGGAATGCGTCGGGATGCGCAGTTGCTTATCTACATTGATTTGCGGAAGGCGCTGGCAGCTGGGTGTCCGTTTTGGAGGAGTGAGAACGGGGTTATTTTGAGTGAAGGAATGGCGGTGGAGGGTGGTAAGGGTGTTGTTCCGGTGGAGTTCTTTGATGTGGTGGTTGAGAGGAAGCATGGGCTGGGGAAGATCTGGGAGGGTGGGAAGGAGGTCCAGGCGTTGCCGGAGGAGTTGGTGAAGCAGGGAAATCCTAAGGGGAGACGGAATGCGAATCAGAAGAAGGAAGCTACTACTACGCAGCCATGAATATACTGCATCAACGGCTTTGCATATACTATACTAAGATTCCACGCGGACATTATCGGTGTTGTTGCTTGTCCCGATACGTCGCATAAGGTCCTGCGGGGAAGCCCAACCCCGGACCAATCACCGCGCATCCCTATCCGACATCCGATCGAGTTGCGGGGGATCGGATGCGCCTTGTGCGCTTTCCGACGGGCGATCATACGGTCCATTGGGCCATTCCGATGCCAGTATCCGCTGGAGTTCTCATGCAACTCGACCTTCGTCCATTAGTTCCGCCGGATCGATTTGCGGGGTCTCGCCAGCAAAGGCCGTCCGGAAGGCTAGCATTTCAAATCATGGCGGTGAATAGACTCTGATATAAAAGACTGTTTGTGCTCTTTGGAAACTTATCCTGTTTTATAGTTCCTTGTTTTGTATCTACCCCTCCTACCCCTCATCCTGAAGTATACCTCGATTTATCTCAACCAGACATATACAAAACTCTAGCATCTCGGAAATAACATCCACACGAACAAGGGAAAATATAGAGACAGAAAAAAAAAAAAAAGCCAACATGGCCACCCACCGATTCGACCCCAATTTCACCGACAATGTTGTCAACGCCATGGGCCCCAAGACCGAGCCCCGGTTCCGCCAGTTGATGACCAGTCTGATCCGCCATGTCCATGACTTTGCGCGCGAGAACGAGGTCACTGTCGACGAATGGATGGCCGGTGTCCAGTTGATGAACTGGGCCGGTCAAATGAGCAACGACAAGCGGAACGAGGGACAGCTAGTCTGCGACGTGATTGGGTTAGAATCGTACGTTTCCCTGTGACTATACACATGCAATATCTTTATCGATCACGACTACCTCTTTGACACCACAAATAAATATATTTATATATATACTGACTATGAAATTCAAGCCTCGTCGACGAAATCACCTTCAAACTCGCCGAAGAGGCCGAAGACGCTCCCACCGCAACTGCCATCCTGGGTCCATTCTTCCGCGCCGACACTCCCTACCGCAAGAACGGCGCGAACATCGTCAAGGGGGTCCCAGATGGCGAGATGGCTTTCATGCATGGCCGCGTGATCGATTTCACCACCAAGAAGCCGCTGGTGGGCGCCACCGTGGAGGTGTGGCAGGCGGCGACGAATGGGTTGTACGAGCAGCAGGACCCGAACCAGGAGGAGTTCAACCTCCGCGGAAAGTTCAAGACGGACGAGGAGGGCCGGTATTACTTCTACTGCTTGCGACCCACGCCGTATCCTGTTCCCGATGATGGTACGTTTCACTTTTGTCCCGGGTGGTTTGGGAGGGAGTGTTTGAATGCTGATCTGTGTTGAATGTAGGACCGGCAGGGAAGCTGCTCAAGCTGATGGACAGACATCCGTTCAGACCTGCTCATATCCACATCATTGTGAGTCTATATTTGCTATTCGCTTTTTGCTCGTATCAAGGACCAAGCTAACAAGTGTACAGGCTACTCACGACGGCTACAAGCCCCTCACCACGCAGATCTTCGACCGCAAAGACCAATACCTAACCAATGACTCTGTCTTCGCCGTCAAGGACTCGCTGATCGTGGACTTTGTTCCCCGCGAGGGCGACTCTCAAGCTGGTCTTGAGCTGAATTATGATGTGAAATTGGTGCCGGCTCAGCCGAGCAGCACCAATGGTGTATGAACATTATTGTCTCTTGATTAATGAATTTTGTATATACCTTTTTCCTTCAATTTTAGCATTCTGGAAGCTTGTTTTAGTCAAATTATGATGAGAGATTTGTGATCTTAATTGGCTTTCTTCAGTATGATTTGGTATGGTCCTGTTTATACATTGTATGCACATCAACCACACACATATGTATATAAACATATACATCCATTAAGAAGCAAGAAATGTCTAATATCCGCCCCAACAACTGAATTAATTAAAATCCTCTAAATCCCTACAAGCCAACCCCCCCAACAAACCGCGCAATCAAACCCCCCACAGCCTCCGGCGCCTCAACACAATGCCAATGACCCACCTTCTGCAGCACCTCCAAGCTCTTCTTCTCACTGGCCACGCCGTCAAAAATAACCCGACAGCCCTCCAACGGCGCAGACTTATCCTCCTCGCCGGCAATAAGCAAGAACGGCGCCCGGACAGCCGAATAATCGATCACGGGCGCTGCAGCAATGGCCCGACAAAGCGCGGCGTAGCCCTCGGGGTTCTGCCCGAGGATCAGTTCCCGGACGAACGACTTCGTGAGCGCTGAGGTCCCGGATCCGGTTGCTTGGTATGGGATGGTGTTGGCCATTGGTTCCATGCCGGCTTTTGGGGGTGTGTTAGTGATATTGCAGAGAATGTGTTGGTGGGATGGGTTGGGAGAGTAGTGGAGTGTAGGGTACCTTCGGAAACAGTCTCGCTCCTCTTGTTCATCACCGTCGTGAGCGTCGAGGAAGGATGTGTCGGGCCAATAGCTACCACTGCCTTTATGCGGTCTGCATACTGGGCGCCAAGCAGGGTGACGACGAGGCCGCCCATTGAGTGGCCGACGGCCACGGCTTTGGGGATGCTGAGTGCGTCTAGGACGCCGATTACATCTGCGGCGATGGAGGCGATGGAGATCGGTTGTCCCATGTAGGTTGAGCGGGCGGAGCCATATGTGTCGATTGTTATGCAGCGGTGGTTGGTTAGATGCGGGAGGATGGGGAAGTAGTAGTTTTGGGAGGAGCCCAGGCCGTGGATGAAGACGATGGTGTGGCCTTGTTCTGGGGCGCCGTTGGGGTGTGAGTCGGCGTAGTGGAGGTGGTGGTTGTTTATGATGAGGGAGGGCATGGTTGCTGTGTGTGGGGGGTGAGGGATGGGATTGTAGTATTGAAATTAGGAGGTGAAGATATCAATCGGATTTTACTTAATTAGATAGTAGACGACTACTAGTTCGGGCAGTAGGGCTGCTATATGACGATGTTAATTGCATCTGATTCCCAGTATATCCGTCGGGATGGCAGCGGAGTAAATCCGTGCTTCGTTGCTAAATGGCCTAGCCGACGCGGGGCGCTCGGATAGCGCTGCGGATCGTCGCCCGTCGGGTCGGATAGTGTTGGTTTTCTACTAACTATAGACGCCAGCATTAGCTAACACTACATATCCCTGTCATCTCGCAGGTTAGCTAATATCAGCGAATATAGAAGCACATTCAATACCTAAAGTTTTCGATGTTATAATACAGTTCCTAGCGAGATATTCGCAGACCCAGTACCCTGGCATGGGGCTCCATTTGTGCTCATCGGAAGTCCTCGTGTCAAATAATATATCCTGGAAACCAAAAAGGACTTGACCACGCCTTTGTGGTTCAGTTTCGGCTCAAGTCTCTTAAGTTGAATATAGAGCTTATAACATGCGTGACTTGGTTGGGTTATAGATCAACAGCGACAAAGTTCACATAATCGATCGAATCGGAGGTCTCCCAGCATTTATGACGCTATAACGACGTGGAAAAGTTGCATCACAGACGTGTAGCGAACCTTGGCATGAGCCTCCGCCCCGTGCAGGTGTCCAAAGATAATATCCAATATTTTAGTATTGCTGAATTAGCTTTCAGGTGGCACAATGAAAGTGATATGTAGACAGGTAATTGTCATTGGGTCTCTATAGCGCATCAAGAGGCACAGGTTCTCCAATATCTCTGCGAAGCTAGTCAAATAGATTGGCTAACCTTCAACCTCGTCGGGATTTGCGATATCTATATTCTTGCTACCAAAATTCCAAGACCTTGGGACACAAGAATCGATGGTCTAGATAGCGTAGAACGGTTGTACGGAGGTGCTTGACGGTGGCAATATTGAAAAGTACCGCAGAAGCAGGGTTAGCCAAGTAGGATAGCGTAGATGGAACCCATTGCGCATGAGGTGGATGGCAATCACAGGGGCCAGGTGTTCAGGGCATCGCCCTGAATCGCTCTTGCACTGCTCCGGGTTGCCCCACGATTGTTCAGCGCACGTATGTCGATGCTGTTCATTTCATGCGTCTAGTTACTCATGGAGCAACAAGCGGCGCTAAGCGGGCCCGAGATCAGAAAAGGAAGCCAGACGCTTCCGCAGGGAAGATTGCCGTGCTAAAGAATACAATACTCCTTGTACTCACAGCACTAAGTGAGTCTCTATGTCATCCTGCATCGAGCCGGAGCAATTCCTGTTCGAATTCCTCGTCGGTATCGAGTTCATCAGCAAATTCTTCCAACAAAATAGCTGTATCATCTCGGAAGGATTCCCCTGCTGGTAAACTGATCGGGGCTGGCGGAGCTACTTGATCTTTGTGCTCCTTTTTCTCCGGCTCTGCATGAGCAGTACCCTGCGAGACCGCGACAATTTCAGCTTCCTTGATAATGTCTTCATCGTCGAAGATAGAGCAGTCGGAAAATTCGTCGTCATCTCTCTGTCCGCAATTGACCTCGTGAGGTTCTGTAGCTCCACCAACACTGTCGATGCTAACTTCTAGACTGACAGCTTCCGCGTCGTCTGATTCATCCTCCTCCGAGTTCAAGCCCTCGCTAGTATCCACTTCCGTGCTTACAGTATCAGGCTCCGTATCTTCACATGTCGTCTCTTGCTCCGCAGGGACTTGAGGGCCCTTCTTAAGAAAATTGAATAGCGACGGTTGGCTCGACGGAACGGTGGGTGCATCGGGATCGGGTATACCAAGTCGTCGTCGTTCTTCGCGAGCCTTCAATTCTTTCTCGGCCTTCTTTTTCTTGTTGGCTATGCGCTTCTTCTCCCTCTCCCGAAGCTTCTGCGCTTTGCGCTCGCGTTCTTCATCCCGTTCTATTCGCGCGATCTGAGATGCTGTGAACTTGAGACGTTTGTTGCTGCGTTGATATCGACGACGGACAGTTCGCGATTTCTCTAGGACGATACGTTTCGGCGATGCAGGCATCTTGACCTAGGGCGGAAATAGAGGTATATACTAGGCGTTACGTCCCTTGAGACTGGTGAAATATAGGCAGACATTGGAGATGCTCATGGAGTATTTTGGCTGAGAAAGTAACAAAAGCCTTTTGTTGATCACCATGTTGTTAAGGTCCGTAAACGGAAGCTGTAGGCGTCTTGCGGACGGCATTAAGTTGTGCCGAAACGGCGGTTTATCTGTGACCGAATTCACGGGAGCTTGTTATCTTCCTGCGCTCTTGGCTATCCGAGCTCTGATCCTCTCCAACGTACAGAAATGAAGTTTCATAATATAAATAATTTCTAGTTCATTTATCATTGATTTGGCTTAGTTCCAACTTAAGGTTTTAGACTTTTGGAAGAACCTATGCTCATCCCAATCTCCGCATATTAGCCTGGATATCAAAGGCGGGAGTCCCTGGCGGGATCCCAGCAAACAGGTGCATCCACCCCTGTCTTCAAGCTCTCCATGTCCTCTTCCGATAGCTCAAAGTCGAATACCTGCGTGTTCTCGATGATACGCGACTCGGTCACGGACTTGGGGAGAGGGACATAGCCCTGGAACCGGGTCAATACATCGCATAGAAACTCTGACAATAAAGGAAAACATACCTTCTGCAAGCTCCACCGGATCAAGACCTGAGCAGGAGTCTTGTTGTGCTTCTTGACTAGACTCTGCAAAACGGGCTCGTTCATACGAGTGGCCTGCACTAAAGGCGAATACGCTTCAACAACAATGTTGCGCTTCTTCAGCCAATCGACAATGTCTTCTCTCGGGCACCAGGGGTGGATTTCGTATTGGCCAACTGAGATCTGACCACCCACTCCGCTGTTGATGTATTCCTCCAATTCGTTGAGGTGGTGGATACCGTAGTTGGAAACTCCGATGGAACGGACCTTGCCGGTCTTCTGAGCTTCTACCAGAGCGCGCCAGGCGCCAAGGCGACCCTCTTTACCTCCAAAGGGAGCGTGGAGTAGCACCCTTGTCGGTGTTAGTTGTCTGGCTTTCATATGGGACTAGGGATAGTGATTACAGGTCGATATAGCCGATTCCAGCTGCATCCGCAAGACTAGCTTCGATAGCCTCTTTAGCCTTTTCGTAGGACATGTGGCTGACGGGGACCTTGGTTGTGTAGAAGATCTTGGAACGGTCGATACCCGACTTGCGGATAGCCTCGGCACATTCAGCTTCGTTCGCATAGTACTTGGCGCTGTCGACCTGTGGTGTCCAGTTAATTCCATTGTTCAATCAATGCTGAACAAAAACACCTTACATGGCGATAGCCAGTTTCCAAGGCCTTCAGGGTCACCTTCTCTGTGATATCAGGCGGACTACGCCGACATGTCAGTATCGATGCCATTTACTCTGTTTAGATCGAAATGTAGCCTTAAGACACTTACGTTTGGTAAACCTAAAATCGAATTATAGTTGTCAGAATCATCCTCTTCAGTCAAGGTCCATCTGGCTGCGACTTACACCGAAACCAACGACAGGGATCTCATATCCCGAGACCAACTTATGGGTCGACTGAAGCGATAGCGGAGCCATAATGTTGGTGTGGCCGTGATATTTTCTGTTTTTCTGTCTTGTATGAATGCTAACAAGTCACCTTTGCCCAGCAGACAGTTTGGAGGGGTAGATGTAACAGGGCAGACAACGGAACAGCAGACGTTCACCGGGTCCCTCGCTCCGTTATTTATTCCACAGTCTTCCACTTCCGGCTGGATCAGCGGCCCTGACGAGTAAATTAGCTCTCATGGCGTCGTGTGGATAACATCAACGTGGGGCTGCTCTAAAACGGAAGACCGAATTCGGCTGTTAGGCCTTTTAGGGATGTGCACGGAAAATGATACCACGCCAGGGGGTGTTTTTCAGGCACCCGCGGAAAATAAATCCTTGGCTTATGGCTACTACCTAAAGGGAGACTATCGACTTAGTCTTCTAGAAGCTACTTGGAGACTTGGAGTATGCATGTAGCCTTGTCTAGATTAGGGCTTATGTATGGTTTGGGCATATCAATCTTATCGATAACGCTAGATCAACGCTAGACCGCTCTAGGGCGTGTCCCGCACCTTGGACGCCGATGATGCAAAACGCCGTCTTTCTATCTTTCTCTCCGCCAACACTCGCGGGGAGCCAGGCTAAACAACGAACCTCTACATAATTCCTGCGCTCAGATTGCCATCATTATCCATTACGTCTATGCTCACCTGAATAGAAGTCTATCAAGCCGAAGGAAGAACAGTCGCTCGCCATCGCGAAAGAAATTCACTCATTCGAAGACCAACCCACTTAAGTTCCGATATAACATCTAACCTCCCCAGCCGACTCCTACCCTCTCCTGCAGCTCCCCACGCGCAAAATGCGCTTGATCAAGAACAAGGTCGAGCTGAACGGCTCGGGCACAGTCACTCTGTGCCCTGAAGAGCCCGAAGACATGGTAATCATTTGGACCTTTAAGCGATCGCATCGACCCTATTGCTGAGCAAATTCCTTCAGTGGCATGCATACAACCTAATTCGACCTGGCGACCTTCTTCGCGCCAGTGCCATTCGCCGTGTTACCACGACCCAAGAGACCGGGTCTACGACGTCCGCTCGCGTCCACCTGACGCTCGAGATCCGGGTCAAATCTCTAGATTTCGATCCCCAGCTTTCCCAGCTGCATGTGAGTGGACAGATTGTGAACGAGACGCAGCACACCAAGGTTGGCCAGCACCATACGCTAGATCTGGAGTTGAATCGCAACTTTACGCTTGAAAAGGAAATCGGCTCCGACGGCGAGGGGGTGGGATGGGATAGTATCGCCATCCAGATGCTTAAAGATGCGGTTGATGAGGGCGGGAAACGGAGGGCGGAGGCTGTGGCCGTTGTTATGCAGGAGGGTCTGGCTCATATATGCTTTATTGGGCAGTTTCAGACGATTCTGAAGCAGAAGGTTGAAATGTCAGTTCCGCGGAAACGACAAGGGGGCAGCGATCATGACAAGGTGCGCTCGATATTCTCTTTCTTTTTATCACCCTACGCCGACGGCCCTGCTAACTTAGTCAGGGATTGACGAAATTCTACCAAGTCACGCTAGACACCCTTCTTCGCCAGATAGAATTCAACACCAGCTCTACGTCTCTCACCAGCAACGAGTCCGTCCGGCCCGTCCTCCTTGCATCGCCTGGTTTCGTTGCCGCCGGGTTCCAAAAGCACATCCAATCCGTCGCAGCGACCACCACACCCGCTCTGAAGCGTCTACTCCCGAGCATTGTGGTCGTTCACTCCGCCTCCGGGTACCTACATTCCCTGGCGGAAGTTCTACAGTCACCCTCCGTCAAAACGATCCTCGCCGACACCAAGTATGCCCGTGAAACTAAGCTCATGGACGACTTCCAGGAGCAACTTCGGAAAGAGACCAACAAGGCGACGTACGGTCCGCGCGAGGTCGAATCGGCAGTTGACCAGGGCGCCGTGGGCCGTGGTGGTGGCGTGCTCATTATCTCCAATCGCCTGTTCCGGTCCCAGGACGTGGCCGAGCGTAAACGGTGGGTATCACTGGTTGACCGCGTGCGGGACGTGGAAGGTGGAGAGGTTCGCGTGCTCAGCTCAGACCATGAGAGTGGCAGGAGACTGGATGGCCTGGGAGGCATTGCCGCTCTGTTGACGTTCCCCATTGTCGAGGATGATTACGACTCCGACGAGGAGCAAAGTTGAACATAATAGTAGACATCCATTATAGCATAGACAAGGCTCATCTACTGGTGACCTTACATTCGACTTTCCCAACATAACTTGTGTAAACATTGACACGTTCAAACCCCCCGCCATTATTCAAGTGACCTCTCCTTGTCATTCCCAAGACCGTCTAGGAACGAGAGACAAACCCAATTACACCGCATATACAATCGCCTCTGTCCCTCACCCGAAACACTCATATTACACAGCCAGTTGAGCGAGGCTGACAATCGCACTCTCCTTCACACTGTCTCGCCTTTATTCCAAATACCCTGCGATGCACAGTCCGACTCAGAGCCACCTGATCAGTTATCAGATGCGGAACGAATAGGCGGTCGTTCATGCCCGACGCTCCCACAAGAAGGCCCTGACCGCTCAAGCAATTCGCCTGCGATGATTACACAATGGCTTGCATTTGTGCACGTCCACGCAAGAAGACGAAAACCAGACATGCTGGTTGGATCTCAGTACGAGACACAAGACACTCCCAAGCAGCCTCGGCAGTCAAAGATTGATAATAATATCCACACATTCCGGACACTCCGTCACCTCCACGAGTGTCATGTAGTCATTGTTGGGTAATGTCTCTTCGCCATTGCCACACTGATGCTCAACCTGTGGTTACTGCACCCGGTCTGGACTTCCGAGCGACTATATGAGCGAGAAAGGGAAAAGCACTAGCAAATCATGACTCCATCCTGAACATCGTTAGCGATTGCGGCGTAACATGGTCACCAAAGGGGTGGATGGAAGATGTTGAGAAGTTGTACTATACCTGTGAGTGGTCAGAGACGCGAGAAGACACGGCAGTCCAGTCATTCTTTCACCTTGGGTGCTATTTCCATCCTTGGGTTACTGGATGTTTGAGCTAGATCGGATTGAGGCTGTTCCGAGGGCTCACTCGGAGTCACCGTCTCCAGTAAAGAACATGACATCAAATGGCGATACTCGCCGCATTGATTTCGTCAATAGGCTAATAATAACTCCAGCGTTGACCGCTTTTCTCTGCATGTCTGGTGTCCGACCAATGCGGCCGCATGAAGCCCCAACGGCCTGCATACTAGAGGCGGACTATAGACCCGTAAAAGCAGCAATCGCCGCAAGCCTCGTCATTGGTGTGGAAAAGCTTGTTAGCATACCGCCAAAAAGTTCCAGGACAATTCCAAACCTGCCAAGCAGCAAGCCCTAACTTCGCTCCTCCAACCTTCCGAGGAAATAGCCCAGAGTGTACTATCTCTATCAGCCTTGACAGCCTCGTCTCCCTGCAAACCCCGACAAAGAACCATGTCTCACTCAACGTGGCGGCCTTAATTCCAGCCTCCAGATCTCAGGCAACACCTTCAACGCGCCCAGACCAATCGGGACGTCGCCAGTGCCCCAAACTCCGGGAATCTTAAATTTACGCTCAAGCGTTTAGGCAAACATTTGGCCTGCAAGAGGAATACTAACCTTTTTTTTACCTCCGCGGCAATGTCGGCATTTAGTTTAGCACAGCTGTCAAGTTAAGTTAATGGTTAGGTTCCCCCTTCTTTTATTTTTTTTTTCTCTTAAGTTTCTTTTGCGTCCCAAGAAAGTCTGTTAAATTAAGGCGTTATCGATGTATAATGAATTGGTGTTGCCTGTTATTTTTTTTTTTTTATATTTTCTCTTTATACCTTGTTCTTTTGGGTTTTGCTTTAATTTGCCAGATCGTGTACCAATATGCAGGATGAAGATCACTCTAAGCCGTTCTCGTCGATAGTATAAGAGCGTGGCTTGCATGAAATCCGGAGTCGAACAGTATATGTACCGGTCTTTTTTCGTTTTCTTTTTGTCTGTCGAGATGGATTTCAGTTTTGAGATGAGACATGCATTACATATACGAAAATATACTTGTAGTTATACTGGTAGTTATAGTAGATATAGTAAGTATAGTAGTAGACAGGGTCCCAGGGGGAAGAAAACCAAGTACAACGACAGGTTTCTTCTCCATCTGACAAAGAAAATCACCAGGGTCAATGAACTATACTGACCGAGACTATACATGAAACCGAGCAAGACATTCCACGAGACTGATAAACATGTCCAATTGCGGCCAGAGGGCGGCTTCCTTCTTTTTTTTTTTTCTTTTGGAGCTTCATATATACAGTACTACTAACCGATTGGTATACACTGCACCCTCGATATGATCTGTTTTGGGAAGGAGTCAGTATAACCCCATTAGGATGCACATCCTGACATATATGATGACCCTGTTCGTTAATTAAAGGATCGGAGGCTAGTGTCGTTCAACGCTCGATCTCGGTCCCGCGGGTGAGACATCCAAGATGTGTGTGTGTGTGTGTGTGTGTGTGTGTGTGTGTGTATGTGTACAAGGGAAGATAAAGGTAAAATCTGGGAATTGGTCATTCGAACTTAGGACCACCACCACCACCACATCCCAGTCGATAGTCAGGCTGCAAGGCACGAGTCAGGTCTGAGACATACATACGCGCACACACACACACCAAGTTCAGCCGCAGCGCAGTCATGCTACCCCGGTACTTCTACAAATATAGATTTCGTTTCCAGCGAATAGCTTCACCACGCAACATACATGCAAATCCCTTCCCTTACCCCCCCACCACCCCCACGTCACACCAACTGGACGATCCCGGATTCATACCTCATTTAAACATCCCCGAATCTATCTATCCGCCTAGTCCAATGCAGAGGATCCTCGTCCGGCGGCTCTCGACTGGCATCCATTAAGCCTCTTTGTCTTGGAACGGCAGCTAATGTTGGCGCAGGGAAGGTGTTCAAAGAATAAGGAAAAAAGAGGTCTTGGAAGGACTGAAGATTCGGTCGAAGCGAGGGACCGGGGTACGGTTTTAATTTCGTGGATCTTGCCCTTCTTTTTTGTTTCTTTGCTTTTTCTGGTCTTAAACTTTAACGGTTGAACTGTTGAACCGGATGGTGGGTCTTGTTTTTTTTTTTTTTTTTTTTTTTTT